TGCAAGTGGCTCTGAGTTCCATCCCCAGCACTGCGAAAAGAAAAATGAAATCTTGTTGCCAGCTTGAAAAATTGTATTTTAAGACCATGTGTGATCTAGTTACGTTTAGAACATTAGTTTTACAGATTCAGTCTTTAAAAGATATCTTATCATTCATTAAAATAAAAATCCCTTGTAATTCGGATATACTGCCACCAGATAAAGCTTCTGTCACAGACCCACAGAGACTAGGTTTATTTCCTTCAGGGAAATAAATCATAAATCATAAACCAGCCATACTTTATAGGAAATAAATGATAGAATGGTGAAGACTTGAAGCAAAGTCTAAATAAATATACTTTGGAAGATGGACAATTTGATTTTTTATCATTTAGTTCCAACACTAATTTTGCACACAAATTTTGTTCCAAATATTTCTCTTTCATTCAGCTTAAGAAAATAGACTCCAAACCCTTCTGGAACTTATATTTTCTCCCAGGGTTTGAATTTAGCTTGATATCATAATTTCTTTAATATACTTTCTTGAAATGCCACTCACTTCTGTCTCACAGACATATCCTCTTTAGAAGTAGTGTGATAGTTGTTTAGGTTTTACTTTTTAGAGATTTGGATTTCGTTTGGAAAGACTGGATTTCATTGTTCTACCATACATTTCAAGAGGAAGATACACAGATGAGCTTGTCCAAAAGAGTATATGGCATGTCCACATTTATGTGTAAAGAGGAAATATTCCAATGTAATTTTAAAGAAGACTAAAAGTCTTCCTCAACCTTGTATTTTCTCTTTCCCTTTCCTCCTCTCCCCTCCCCTTCCCTCCAACTTCCCCTGTCCCACTGGGGGTTGACTCCAGGGATTTTGCACTGAGCGACACCCACATCCCTTGTTTTGGTATTTTTTTATTTTGAGACAGGGTTTTGTTAAATCACTAAACTGCCCAGGCTGGGCTGGAACTTGTAACATTCCTGGGTGAGCCTCCCAAGTGCTGAAATTACATGCCTAACTGTTACATTTTCTAACTGGACATAATGGGTTTAAAATTATTTATGTAGTTTTATCTTTGTTTTCTTTTTCTTTTTTTGGTTTTTGAGATTGGGTTTCACTATGTTGCCCAGACAGGCCTAGAGTTCATAATATTCCTGCCTCTGCCTCCCCAGTGCTATGCCGTCATGCCCAACTCATTTTCCTTCCTTCTTCACCTTCCCATTCCCTCCTTCCTTCCTTCCTTCCTCCCTCCCTCCCCTCCTTCTTTTCTATTTGTTCTTGGGATTAAACCTAGAGCCTTTGCATTGAACCACAACTCCAGTTCTTTTTTGTATTTTTATGTTGAGACAAGGTCTCATTAAATTACCCAGGCTGGCCTTGAACTTAACATCTTCCTACCTCACCCTCCCCAAGTGCTGCGATTATAGGGGAGGAATACCACACTCTTCTCTTTACTTGCTTTTAGTGAAGCTAAATTTAGCAAAACTCAGCAATCTGGGTTTGAGGGGGGGTATGGTTTAGTGGTAGAGTGCCTGTCTACCTGGGTTCAATCCCCAGCACTGTAAAAATGTAAATTAAATAAATAAAATTTCATCAATATACATCTTTTATGTACTACTCTAATAAGAAAATTCTTCAGGATTGATGACAGATTCAAGTCGCTCACAAAAAGCCAGGCATTTAAGGTGCATATATTTTGTTTGCAGTGCTGCAGATGGAAGCTAGGGCCTCACAAGTGCTAGGCGAGTGTCGTACCAGCAAGCTACAACCCTAGCCCTGCTCCCATTTTCAGGGAGGATTTGGAATGGACATTTATTTTGTTTTGTTTTGTTGAGAGAGGGTCTAACTATGTAGTTGAGACTGACCTGAAACTCACTATGTAGCCAAGGTTGGTCTCGAACTCACAGCGATCCTCCTGCCTCAGCCTCCTGAGTGCTGGGATTACAGGCGTGCACCACCACACCCGGCCATATATTGTGATATCAAGTTAACGTACCAGAAGCACAGATATCAAAAATCTAGGATTGCTTTAGAGGCATTAAGCAATATACTGAGAACACTAAACTTTGCCGGGGCAAAAACTTAAGAGTTAATTAACAAGGATGTAATTGTAATAACAATAGTATAAGAGAAAGTGCCTATTAGTACTGTCAATACAATAGTACAGAAATGTGTAAGAATTATTATACTGGACCGGGTATGGTGGCACATATCTCTAATCCCAGCACTCTGGGAGGCTGAGGCAGGAGGGTGGAAAATTTTTGAGTCGAGCTTGGGCAGCTTATCTTTGTGTAACCCTGTCTCAAAATAAAAAAATAAATGGGCTAGGGATGCAGCTCATTACCAGGACTCTGGGTTCAATCCACAGTACAAAAAAAATTTTTTTGCCAATAATAACTCTTGGTCCATTCAGCTCAGTATTCTTTTGGTAAAGTGAAATTGGCAATTTAGAATTTCAGAAGTCCCTTTGGGTTCTTTTGAACAGAAATTGCATTTGCAATTTGAAAATGTTTTAATTCAGAATGTATATTTTGTCCAAAATTTCCTCACCGTCCCCTTGCTTTCCTTCTATAATCTGTGATATATGTCATCTGGTCGTGATGATTTATCAACATTTATTATGTACATTTGGCTTGAATAATTCTGAGTATGGGCCCTAATTTAACCAATCACCAATGCATCATTTCAGGGATAACATTAAAGTGGTAATTGCCATAAAATATCCTCTGGTGTAGACTGTAAAATGATTTATGTAATATGTCATATATCTCTTTACCCACAATTATCAAGGAATTTACTTCCGACATTGTACATGTTTTCGATTATTTTATTTTTTAAAAGAAAAGAGATTAATATTTAGTAAGTACCTAATGCTGTATAATATTACTTTCATGGAGAATAGTTTCTTACATAGAGTAATTGCTCAATAAACGCTTATGAAGCAAATGAATGTCAAGTATTGTTTATCACTTTAGATAGGTGACCTTATTTATTCTTACAACAGTCTTATGTGAGATATGTACTATTTTCCCCCATCTATAAAATATAAGAATAATAGTACCTATATTACAGGATTATTAGGAAGATCAAATGATTTAATATACTTAATGCAATTAGAAGAGTTCCTGGAAAACAGTAAGTTCTAGTTAAATATCATCATCATCATCATCATCATCATCATCATCATCATCGTTGTTATTTTCCAGTGTTACCTATAGACGCTGAAGTACAGAGATTTTAAAGTCATTTTTCCAAATGTCACAATGGGAACTAAGGGGCTGCAACAAATTTCTATACTTTATGCCCTTTCTTCTAAATCTTTTGTTTTTACCTTGGTATTCTTGCCAAAGAGCTCTACAGAATGTTATTTTGCCCTATTTCCATGCATAACTAGATTACTTTGTAGGCTTTCCATTTTTCTTTCTTAGACTATCTTTCAATTCTTGGAAAGATTATTTTCTTTCTTAAATTTATTTATATATGGCCTTTCTTTACTTGACAAGTATGCTGTTTCTCAGGACATCTTTTCCCTGGAGCCTTATATATTTTTTTCAGTGACTATAAAAATTCTGTCTAGTTATCCTTATCTTGTTTATTTTTGCAGTACCAAGGATTGAACCCATAATGTCACTCATACTAGGCAAGTTCTCTACACCCTCAGCCGCTGGCTCATTATTGAAATATTTCCTTTCCACATCTTTTCTCTAATGAATTTAATTTGTCTTTTTCCCTTCTTAATTCAAGAAGTTCTCAATAAGCCCTTGATTTTGTATGAAATATAAAGAGAGGTGAGGTAAAAGATACATTCCCTTCTCACACCAGTGGTTTTTAATAATTTATTTTCACTTGCTAATTCACTGTATAGAATGATTCTATTATGCTTTTCTGTGGCTCATGAATATGACGAATGGAATTTCTCACAGCATAATCATTTGAATTAACCAATATGGTTACAAAGCAATTCATACAAGTTGTAAATTTTTTCCTGTGTTCTTTCACAAAGTATAGCTTAGACAAATAAATTTTTGGGTACCACTGATTTCTCTCAGAAAATGAGACTGTTATCACATGGTTCAAATTTAAAAAGACTTTGAGAAGATACATAGGATACCGAAATTTATGATAAATGAATACACCAACGCATTCTGATAATTTTCTTAACTCATTGAATATTAGTGAAAAAGACTTGAATGACTGTGGCTGGGAGTGGAGCTCTGAGATGGGTAGAGGAGTGGTAGCCTAAAGACCTGGTGATAAACCTGACTAGGTAGCTTGGGGTTGGATTATGAAGGCTTTGATGATCTTCTCTTTGTTCTCTACATTGCATATGTTTTCAGGTTCCATTAACAGAACTCCTAAAATCCAAGATTGATTGGTTTCACACACCCAGCATTAAATCTTCGGAGTTCCATTTAAACCAAAACCTGTATTTCAAAACTAATCTTTATGATTGAGGACCAAAGCATTTTTCACCACCCAATACTGACATGATAAGAAGAAACTGGAGAGCTGGAGATCTTGGCACAGCTTCAAGGAATGATAGAACAGAATGTAGAGAACTCTTCCAAGTTTTGGAAGGCATCAGTTGGCTGAACACCCCACCCCCTTTTTTTTTTAGACAGGGCCTCACTATGTAGTTGAGACTGCCCTGGAACTCACTATATAGCCCAGGCTGGTCTTGAACTCACAGCGATCCTCCTGCCTCAGCCTCCCGAGTGCTGGGATTACAGGTGTGCGCCACCACGTCCGGTTTGGCTGACACTCTTGACACACTGTAACGAGAAGTTTCCTTGAAAACATCTAGCCTTTCCCTACTACGGAATGCTAAAGGATAGCAAAATTCATGTATGCTTAAAATTTGATACTGCACTAATTTCTCTCCCCAAATTACTCCCCAGCATTTCTGTTCCTAAAGCATTTGCAATAAGCTCAGCAAGCTGCCTCATAGTCCTTCGAAAAGCTGTTTCTATACATTCTCCCTTTCATCCTTATCTCATATATTTGTTTTTGTTTTGCAGAACGAAAAAGGCAAAACAATTTAAAGAGATTTGGAGACATACCGCCCAAACGACCTATAGTCGGCTTGGTGTCGCTTCGCAAGATTTTGGTACCCAAAGTAGCAGAACCAGGACTAAGCATCCTTCCTCTAATCACACTTTTCTTAAAGCAAATGTTCTGCACTGTCGAACATCATCTCTTCCCAATTCAACACCTCCTCGCAGCCCGCCCCCTGGTTCCTTCCCACTCTCTACCTCGCCCCCCCACTCGCCCCCACTCTGCGCATGCGTCCCAAGAACCCCCTACACTCGCGGCACCGGCTGAGAGTATTGTCGGGGGCTATTCTCTCTCCCAGGAACATGGCGGCGAGTCAGGGAGG